GAAGATAGATGTAAAAGTTCTTCAGATTCTGAGTCAGAATCTGTTTCACTGGGGGTGAAATAATAAGGAATGATACAAAGTATTTGGTCAGAGAGATTTTCATCTACAGAGAGCAGGGATTCGATATCATCATTGTCAAGAGAGATTCTTGTCTCTAGTTCGATATTATCAATGAGATGATTCTGACCTTTTTTTGCTTGAGGACAATTTTTGGCAAAGTGACACTTCTTGTTGCAAATGAAGCAGCGGTTTGGTTTCTAGCATCCTATGAAGTTTATTCGCTTCCGTGGGAATCGCCATTTCTTCTTCCTTCCGAAGTGCTTAGATCTTTTCATTCGATACTTCTTGAAGTGCTTGTTTTTCTTTGAATATTTTCCGCAGGAACCGTCACAATCTTTCTTTGAATATTTGATCTTCAAATATTATTTGGAGCAAGCACCATCAAGTTCACGATTGTCTCTGATATAATTTTTCATCATTTATGTTCAGAGGCAAAGTTCATCAAGACAAAGATGGATTTCTTGTTGTAACTCTCTAAAGGGGATATCAAAAATTCTTCTTTGCTTGTTGAGCAAAGATCTCTCAACTTGTTGGGTGAGTTCTTTAGGAATGGAAGCTAAGAAGACTTGTTTCAAATTCGAATCAGCTCCTAGGCCATAAAGAAGTTTAATCATTTTTCTGTAATGGCGGTCTAGGTGCTTTTTTTGAAGAGAACAACATTTTCTTTCAAAGTATTCTCTTCTTTTGAGTTCAAGAAGATCAGCAGGCTTTCCTATGAAATATAGGTAAATGATTCCAATGGCTTGGGAAAAGTCTTGCAGAAGAAGAAAAGTCATTTGATCTTTCTCAAAAGTTCCTTGCCACCAATGTTTAAGGCTTCCAATAAACCTTGTGGCAAATTCTAAAAGAACATCATATTCACTTTCAACAACAAGAGCTTGGGTGCTCAACCAAGCATGGAATTCATCTAATTTTTCTGACCATTTGGAATAAGGAGTATCATCAAGAGTGAAAAACTATTTGGATGGGGAAATAGAAATTTGAGATGGGTTATTTATTTGAATAACCTCTGGTTCAAATGAATTTGGTTCCATGTTTTGTTCTGGTGGATCAGCCATGAAAATTAGAGGAGTAGTTGGTGGTATATGGAAAGATTCAATGGAAGGAATTGGAAAAGTAGAGGAAGAGGAAGAGGAAGAGGATGAAGAGGAAGATTCCAAGTCTGAATTTAGCAAATTTGATACCTTTGCTATTTCTAGAGAAGTGCACTCTTGTGGATGTTGTTCTAAACCAACTTCTGGATTCTTTTGTTGATCTTTGCTTAAATCCCTCAGAAAAAGATTCCAAGGGATTTGAGATCATCATCTGCTGGTCAGAATTCTTTTCAGGTTCTCTAAAGGACTTAGCAACAGATTTTGCTTTTTCCTTTATTCTTTCCTTTCGGAGCTTTTCCATTTCTCGAATGCGATTTCGCATTTCTATCATATCACTTCTATCTCGTTGGGTAGAAGTTTTGGTTATAAGAGCAGCTAGAGCAAAAACTAGAGAGTTTTGCGGTGGTGGAGGACAGTATCCTATTCTTGGAATAGAGAAAAAATCAGTAGGCTTAAATTTTCCTTCTTCAAGGAGACTGATTTACCTTTTGAGTTTCTCTATTTCATTTTGCGGACTTTCAAGATAATGGTATCCAAGATGCTGTCCTGATTTCAGAGCATGAAGCCTTTTCTGGAAATCCACAAGCATCTTTTTGATAAACTCGTCATATCTTCGGATTTCTTGTTGCACATCAACAATTTTGGAGTCAATAGTCTTGAAAGCCTGATTTTGTGCTAAAAGAGTTTCTGATTGCCAATTTAGAACAGCCTCAACAGCAGGTGTTCTTTTTGGTCTTCCACGTTCATCTACATCAGTAGGAGAAGGAATTTTTGGAGCATGAATGTATCTTTATTGTGGATTAGTAAATTCCTCAGTAGCAGGAAAAGAAAGCTGAGAACTATGAACAGGATTTAAAGGACAAAAATCAGCTTCATTGAACATGAAAATAGATGGAAGTTGCCTAGTGCTTGGGTTCACAGGAGGACTGAGATTTCAAGTGGATAAGAATTCTTCTTTACCCACTTATAGATTGGTTTGTAGAAAGGGGAAACAACAGATTTTTTATATATGGATGAAACTGGAGGTGATAGTGGTGATGGAGGTGATGGAAATGATAGAGGTGATGGCAAACCATATTAAACCATAAATCGGTATCCGCTATTTTCTCCAAAGGCATCAATGGTTGAGCCTCCATCCAAATATCTTTGATAGAAGCTGTCATTGGCCTTCCTGGTTTTTTGCCTTGGCCTGGTAGCTTGATCTACTTCATCTGGGGAATTTGTACATGAAGAACACTGGCAAAAAGGATTCCATAAACAATGATCATAGGGGTCTTTGTAGTGATGGACAGGATGTCTGTCACTTTTGAAGTATCGAACCAACTTTTTTGGGTCTGGTTCCTCAGGAACTGGATTAGGAACACAAGGTTGTATCATAAAGATAGTAGAAAAGATGGAAGGAGTTTCTTCTTTTTCTTTGCTAAATTTGATGGCTACAATACCATCTCTTTTCCTAACAAATTTAGAATCTGAAAACTGCAGAGACTTGCTATTTTAGTGGAGCTTTTCATAATTTGTTATCCAAGATTCAGAAGAAGCTTGACTAACTTTTCTTTTGGAATCTGCCGAGGAACATGGATGCAAGAGGCCTGATCATTTTGCATGGATATGAACGGTGCATCTTTATTTCCATTTTGGAAATTCAGACCTAGGGCATGATTTTGGACTCTATACAGCATTTGGTAATGAAGAGTTGCAACAATTGAATCGGCAGTTTGAGGTGCTCCAGTAAGCTGAAGTTGAACTTTCAAGAAGGAAAGTAGCTGGGGATCTGAAAGGGCAATATTAAAATTTGGATAAAGGGTTACAAAAACTGTTCCAGCATTTAAGATAGTTTGAACAGTAGCAATACAAGCATGTTGGTATTTTAGGAACCTAGTATCCAAAAGAGCCATTCTTGCCATAACAGGCAAGCCTTTTCTCCCATGAAAGGTGAGAGCAAGATGGACTACTCCATAGTGAATATGCGAATACCCTTGTTGGATCCACTGTTTTGGAAATTCATGAGGAATTTGAAGAGTAACAAAGTACTCCTTTTCAATGGCAGGAATTGGGTGTTAGTCAAATTTGGAAGACTGAACGGATTCTTTGACCTCTTTCGGAGTATGACTGATGAGATGTCTTATAGACCTGATGGGGGAAAAAAGATGAAGCGGGTTTGGCAAAGGCTGAGTATGGGTTCATGAGAGGAAGTCGCGTTTCGGAAATCTTTGTTTCATCGCTAAGAGAGACTTCATAGAGATAGTCTATCTTAGAAGCACTTGAAGTACGAAACTCTGTTAAAGATGATGAAGAAGATGATGGAGTGAGAGAAGCAGTAAGAGTGATTGGAATTGTATCTGGATTAGCCATGATAAAGAGAGAAGGGATCTTCGCAGCACTGGACAATCACCAGCTAAGCGCATTGAATGGATCAAGCTAGACATAAAACCACACTCTGATACCAATGAGGGGAACTTTAGCCTAATGTTCAATTTGGTCCATGAACTTTTAATTTGTTCAATGTGGTTCTTGGACTTTTAGTATATGTTCAATTTAGTCCCTAAATTATATGAAAATGTTCAATGTTGTCCTTAAACTTGAATTAATGGAAGGACTACATTGAACATTTTCAAATAGTTTAGGGACTAAATTGAACATATACTAAAAGTTCAGGGACCACATTGAATAAATTAAAAGTTCAAGGACCAAATTGAATATTATGCTAAAGTTCAGGAACTACATTAAACAAATTAAAAGTTCAGGGACCAAATTACACATTGGGTCAAAATTCAGGGACTGTTTGTGTCATTTTCCCTAAAAAGAAAGCAAGAGTTCTTTGATGATGTACGTATGCATGGATACTTTATATTGAGTCACTGCATTTTGTCCGTGATAACTTCGTATAATTTTCCAAGTATTTTGGAACTTGTTCCAAGACAATAAAAATTAGGGTGCGCATGGCAACCATTCTGTGCCCGGGAACAGATTCCGGTCAGAAATGATTCTTTTTTATTCTGTGCCCAGGAACAATTTCGAAGCATTTGAAGGCGTTTGGTAACTGCCCAAAATTTCTATTCTTAAAATAGAAAAGGAACAGAAATGTGTTTGATAACTACACAAAATTTCTTTTTATTAATAATATTTTAAAATTTTTAATATTTCTTTCTTTTTTTTCCTTTTTTTCTTTTTTTTCCTTGGCCATGGTTGGCGAGGGCGTCGCGGCCCTCGCCGCTAGCCTCGCCTGTTGCGATGGTGAGGTCGGCCTCGCCATGGCCGGGCGAGGCTTGACCTCGCCCAGATCTAGCAAGGCCGACCTCGCCGTCGCCACCCCCCACAACGGCAAGGTCGGCCTCGCCAGATCTGGGCAAGGCTGACCTCGCCGGCCCTGGCCGGTCGCCAATGGCGACTGGCCGGTGGACGGTCGCCGGTGGCCGGTCGCCGGCGGTTGGCCGGGAAGAAGATAAAGAATAAATAAAAAAGAAAGAAGAAAACCAAGAAGAATCAGTTCCGGAAAAATTGTTTCAGAATCAAGAAGCTACTTTTTTTTGCTTCTTGATTTTGTTCCAAAACTGATTCTGGGACCAATTTTTTGCAAAATTGTGCCCAGGCACAAAAATTTTAACAAACGGATTTCTGTTCCCAAACTGATTCTAGGAACAAAAGAATAGAAATTTTCACTATTTGGCACGTTGCCAAACGGGCCCTTACATGTCAATTTCGAGTCACTCACATTTGTGTCTTTTCAAAAAAAAAAAACGTTCGTGTCTTGTCTTCCCAACATAGAAATTCACATTCCTATGCCTGACCAAACTAATTTCATAAATCAGTAGAAAAAGAAGATAATACGATGCATTCGTCAGTTACCTCCAGCTAGCTGCTTTGGCGTGAAGCAAGTCGATGTTGGAGAAGAAGGCGACGCCGGTCTTCGATTCCCTCCGATAGATCCTCGCCTTCGCTTCCTTTGGCTGCTCATGGAACGCTTTCAGTGCCGTGATCCTTCGGTCTAGGACCTCCGTGGGCACGCTGTGGTTGACTATCTGGAAGAAGCCAAACTCGCGAGCGGCACGCGCGACCTCCTCGACGACCGAGGGTCGCCGGTTAGAGTCGAAGCCAGAGAGGTCAACGGTCGGGATCGATTTGGGCTTGGCCCCGGCAGGCTTGAGGCTGGACAGAATGTCGGGTGGGTGGATGAAGAGGGGAGGGAGGGTGGCGAGGCCCGAGTCGAGGAGGCCCTTGACGCCGAGCTTGGAGTCTTCAAATTGCCGGACCTCTTGGGTTCTATCGGGGGCTTGTTGTTCATTGGTGTTGGTGACACCCATGGTTCCTGCGATGATCTTCTTCTTCTTCTTCTGATCTTTGCCTCGGTGTTTGTTTTGGAGGAGGAAGGCGGAGGGGGGTTGGCTTTAAGGGGAGAAAGAGGGGGACCATGGCGTTCAGAAGATTGTGTACGTGATAGAAGTTGTTGCATGGTAAAAAGATGAGTTGGTTCAGCCACACCTCGTCTTTCATCTAAAGGGAAAATTTGTAGCTGCCAATCCATGACCACGGTCCCATAGCCAATCCATGACCACAGTCCCAAAGTTTATGTTTTCTTTGCGCACATGTAAATCTCAATAGCTCTCTCTCTCTCTCTCTCTCTCTCTCTCTCTCTCTCTCTCTCTCTCTCTCTCTCTCTCTCTCTCTCTCTCTCTCTCAAGTAGCCAATCTAGTGAGCCATCTCAAGTAGGTTTTGCCCACAAAAATGGAGATTTTTGTTTTATCATTTATAGCTTTTAAATGAAAGGAGATCGGGAGATCCAATGAATTGAATATAAAACCAAGTCTACTTGAATTTCGAATTGCTTTGAGTTTTATTTCTCAAATTACCCCATAGGAATTCTTGTTTTATTTTTTTTCTCATTTTAAAATGATATAGGGAAACCCCTAAAATGTTTTATTTCGAATTGCTTTGAGTTTTATTTCTCAAATTACCCATGGGAAACGTGGCTCTTGAGATTATGAACCCATTCTGGTTAAGCTGTTTAATTGAATTGACAATTTTTTTTTATAGTTCCATATATTAGCTAGATTGATAGGTCGATAGAAATCTTTGATCTTAAGTGGCAGGAAATTAGCTCTCAACTAGTAGCGACTAGCGAAATCAATTATTGTTCTAAAGTTACTATTCACGAACAAATAGCATATAGGTTTAGGATTTTCTATGGTCAGTGGATCAATCCCCTCAATTTATCTAGTTGGAACCCTAATTCATTTTCTTCACAGCTCCAACACAAAGTGTCGTAATACACAGTCAGAAAGTTACCCGAGACGTTATGTGGGAGATACGGTAAAAATGACCCTTCGTTGTTATTTGGAACGACAGGAGAATAAGGGATCGTAGTTGGGTCATTTTGGACCCCTAAGTGAGAGGAATTCATTTGGTCAAATATCACATCTCAAGATCGAGCAACTGTCGAGTGGGAAAAAGTAGCAAAATCCGAGGTGACCTTTTATCATAGTGTAGGCTCTAATTTAATTGCTTACCACTTTTGGTGTCCATAGAAAGATTGATAGGTCGATAGAAATCTTTGATCTTAAGTGGCAGGAATTAGCTCTCAACTAGTTGCGATTAGCTAAATCAATTATTGTTCTAAAGTTATAATTCACGAATTAATAGCATATAGGTTTAGGATTTTCTATGGTTGGTGGATCAATCCCCTCACTTTATCTAGTTGGAAGCCCGATTCATTTTCTTCACAGCTGCCATACAAAGTGTCGTAACACACATAATCAGAAAGTTACCAAAAACGTTATATGGAAGTTACGGTAAAAATGACCCTTCGTCGCGATTTGGAAAGATAGGAGAATGGTCCTTGAGGGACAGTAGTTGGGTCGTTTTGGACCTCTAAGGGAGAGGAATTCATTTGGTCAAATATCACATCTCAAGATCGAGCAACTATCGAGTGGGAAAAAGTAGAAAAATCCGAGGTGACTTTATATCATTGTGTAGGCTCTAATTTTTTAATTGCTTACCACTTTAGGTGTTGATTTGCTGCCTGAAAAAAATAATTATACTTGGGAGTAGACATGGCCACGGTTCGAAACCGGCCGGTTCCGGTTCGTGGCCATGTATGAACCGGAACCGGAACTGCCCATGGCGGTTCCGGTTCCGACCCGGTTCGGAACTGGACGGTAAAAATTAAAAAAATAAATTATGAAATAAAAAAATAATACATTATCAAATTATGAAATAATGAATTATTCAATATAAAATGTAATCAAAATATACATTGTAATCAAATTTGGGGAAAAAAAGAGTTTCTCCACTTATCTGCATTTTTTTTTTTTGGAACTGGGCTCGGAACCGGCGGTTCCGAGCCGGTTCCAAAATTGTTGGAACCGGAACCGGGCCAGCAGGCCACGGGCCGGTTCTGTTCCGTACCGCGGGCCCGGTCAACGGGCCGGTCCTGGATTTGACCCGGGCTAGTTCCGGGCCGAAATCGGCCCGTGGCCATGTCTACTTGGGAGAGTTACTTTTCCAAGGGACCCCAGAAAGTGTAGGTTCGGTTGACTTCTTATGGAACTTTTTTCGTGTTGAGTGAAAAATCAAGATCTAGCCGTGTCATGATTTGTGACTACATAGTAACGCTAATGCTTCGATCTCGCTCCTATTAGCTTCATTAAATTACATACTCTTATATTCAATAGGTTTTTAAGCAGGATGGGTGGGTGGGTGCACCTAATGAATTTATAGCAAGACTTGGCAGGTTTAAAATGAGATTCGTGTGATTTAAAGACGAAGTGCATCGATTTTCTTTTCTTCAAGAGTCTTTTATGACTTTATTCAATGATGTATTATTTCGAAACATTGTCCTCCTAAGTAAGAGGTTAAACTGCTTCGTCTGAGGTTTCATGTAGACCTTTGCATCCATTGGACGTAAAACACATAGATGGTAGAGTCGGGAACTAGGCTCGAAAAACATACAACCAACTAAGGCGGCTAGGCGTGTGGGCACCGGCACGTTAAAATAAGGAACGCAATCCCGACAAGCCCGCCAAGTGTATACACTTAGGGTACGCATGAATACCATTCTGTGCCCAGGAACTATTTCTGAACAGAAATGATTTTTTTTTTATTCTGTGCCCGGAAATAATTTCTGAGCATTTAAAGGCGTTTGATAAACTGTCCAAAATTTCTATTCCTAGAGTAGAAAAGAACAGAAATGCGTTTTGTAACTACACAAAATTTATTTTTATTAATAATATTTTGAATTGTTTAATTTTTTTTTTCTTTCTACCCATTTTCTTCTTTGGCCATGGCCGGTCGCCGGCGACCGGCCACAGCCCAGGGCCGGCGAGGGCGTCACGGCCCTCGCCGGCCGCCGGCGGAGGCGAGGGTCCCCCTTGCCGGCGAGGGCGAGGGCTGGACCCTCGCCGCCTGGGCGAGGCGGCTCGCCGTCGGTCATGGCGAGTTTGGCCTCGCCCAAATCGGGCGTCGCGACCCACGGCGAGGCTCGGCCTCGCCCGATCTGGGTGAGGCCGACCTCGCCATGATCGACGGCGAGGGCCGTGACGCCCTCGCCGGCCCTGGGCTGTGGCCGGCCGCCGGCGACCGGCCACAACCCAGGAAAGAGCAACACAAAGAAGAAAAGAAAAAAAAGAAAAAGAAGAAAAAAAACTGATTCTCAAAATTGTGCCGAGAAACAAGAAGCAACTTTTTTTTACTTTTTGTTTCTCTTCCAAAACTGTTTCTGGGCACAAATTTTTGCAAAAATGTGCCCGGGAACAAAAAAGTTTACTAAACGCATTTCTGTTCCCAAACTATTTCTGGGAACAAAAGAACAGAAATTTTTACTGTTTGGCACGTTACCAAACGGGCCCTTAGACTAGTGGGGCGGCCCTAGTCGAAATTTTAGGTTTCCTCTACTTTGGTAAAGTACTCTCAGTAATCATTACTAGGGATTCAAAGCAAACCCCCGGTTTATTGAGTCTTTTATGACTTTATTCGTTGATGTATTATTTCGATACATCTTAATTGAGAAGGATTGTTTATGGGAACCGCTCAAATTGGCAATTTGAGAATCTTGGGGCTCGTATGAAAGATGGCCCATGCGCAAGATGATGATTAGAAGAGTTCCAATTAATTCACAGGATTTGATGAAGGATCACCAATTTCCAGTCCTCTAATCAAACCTCCGCATGTTTTCTTTTTAATTCTCCGTGCTCAACAAAAATTCAACAAATGAAGAAATCTTCAACAGACTAACAAAGGGGAAAACAAAAATCAAACTTTGAAGGTGGAATTCGACAAAGAAGTGGTCGATGTGCTCTATCACTTTGCCGATTCAATCTTTGTCTCGTGTGAAGGCACGCCACTGCGACTTGCTCCTCGATCCGAGGTCGCCCATTATGTCACGACGAGGGATCGAGGCCATCGACGCCATGGGCAACCTCGTCGAGGTCGCCATTTGGACATGGAGACTCTTTGATTGAGGTCGCTACCCCCGTCGCGACCTCGGATCTCGGTCGGTATGGCGTCGCAACCTCTTTTTTTGGTCGCAATTGCCTCTGCGACACCCTCATGGTGACAAGGAGCTGAGGTCACGGAGGTGTTGTGGAGTAATGAACTTGGCCGCGAACACAGAGAGAGACAGAGAGAAGGTGAGTTTGAAAATTTTGACAATGGGCCCATTATCCCCACGTGTCAGATGCCGGATGGTTCAATGCATTGCTGACGTGGAGTATTTCATGCACCTGATGTTTTCTCAATATTTTCTCGTTTTGGAGGAGTATAAAGTACATATTTGATTAAGAGTAATATTTTTGTCTTAATTATCTTATTTATTAATATATATAAAATCTTACAATTTGTCTTTTAGCAAGAAATTTTATATTTATCATTTTCAATCAATGCTGGCTTCATCAATATTCTTGTAACATTTTTAAGAATGGAAACCTTCACATAAACAACATAAACTGACATACGAGGTGCATATACAATGTCAGTGAAAAAATACAATTTCTTACGAGAAAAATAGTACGAAGAAAAAGATAATAGAATATTATTGTGAATACATACAAGGTAAGACATTCACTTGCTCTATTCACGAGCACAACTAAACAGCTTGAGCATTTTCTTATTTTCGCCGTAACCCAATTACGAAAGAGCAAGAAACTAATTTTTTTCCAGAATGCAAGATCCTTCTCTGTTGTATAAACAGCAATCGGTGCTTAGTAGAAAAATCAATCTTGCTTTCTAAGCTGCTGGTGGCCTGTTTGGTCTCCACCTCCCTCCGGTAGATCCTTGCCTTCGCCTCCATTGGCCGCTTGTCGACGGCTGTCGCTGCTGCCACCGTGTGGTCCACGACCTCCTCCACCAGCACGTCACGGATGACCCCCTTGGAGGAAGCCGAGCCCGCGAGCCGCGCAGGCTCAGCTTCTTCCACGACCCGGGGGGGGCTGCCGGGCGGAGCCGATACTGGAGAGGTTGACGGCAGGGACCGGATTGAGCCTGGACAAAAAAGGCGTTGGGCGGATGGAGGCGAGGCCCGGGTCGACGAGGCCTTTGACTCTGGGCTTTGGAGTCTTCGAATTGCTTGAGCTGTTGGGCCCGGTAGAGGCCTTGACTGTAGAGGGATGTGATATTACATTAACATGAACATTAGTCTCTTCGTTAACCTATAAATGATAACATACGCTTCCTTTAAAGCATAGACAAGAAGAAAGTTACACTTTGTCCTGTGTAGAGCTCTTCAAATCGCTTCTTTGGCATTTGTAATTTCAGTTTCTTAATAACTTTACCTTGTTTGATTGAGTAAATAATTTTCGATTAACTATGACCGTCCTTCTCGCGCTCGCACTACTTTTTGTTCGTTGCAATACGATTAGTTAATGATAATATTCATAGATTCAATTAGATAGAAATCTTAAAAGCTCGATAGTATTTCCTTTTCTTCTTTTTATAATTAGGGAACTCATTCTAGAAAGTAAATATTAAATAAACAGTAACTTTATCTAAAATACAATAGATGAGAGAAATTTCAAGTTTCCTTTGAGTATGCGGGAATGAAATTAGTTGTTGCATTGAGAGGACGATCAATGAATTCTAAACTTTTTATGGGGAAGTGGGAAGATGAGTTTCACTTTTTATCTTTTTATTTTTTTCTCAAACCAATTTTACCTTTCATCTTTCTACACTGCATTCTAATGTTGGGAAAATTGTCAGAAAAATCTTAAACCTATTACATATGTGCCACTTTAGTCCTAAATTTTTTAATTGTGCTAAATTAGTATTAAACATTTTGACCTAGAGCCAATTCAATCATTCCGACTAATTTTGGCCAAATATTATTGACTTGGACGCCGATCGGCATTGACATGGATAACATTTAATAATATATTTAATATTTTTTTGTTTGTTTATTTAATCTTTTCCTTTCCCTTTTCCTTTTTTTTTCCTTTTTTTTTTTCAATTCCCTTCCTCCTTCCTCCACCCAGTCGTCGAGGGCAACTGGCTAGAGGCCAGGGTCAATGAGCCTCGCCTCCTCGCCAACGACGATGAAGGCGAAGGCGAGGCTCGACCTTGACCTCGTGGCCTCTAGCAAGGGCGAGGCTCACCAGTCCTGCGCGAGGCCACCCTCAAGGCTATTCAGCGAGGGCGAACTTCACTCACGGCTTGCCAGGTTGACCTCGTCGACTTTGGCCTTTGGTCGATCGCTGAGGTTTGGCGACCGGCTATAGGAAGAAGGAAGGGAATGAAAAAAAAAAGAAAAAAAAAGAAAAAATAAGAAAATCTAAAAAATATTAAAATATAATTAAAAATTGTTAATGTCAGTGCCGACCATGCCACGTACGCCGACCAGCATCCGCATTAGCAATGTTCGGCCAAAATTAGCTGGAATGACTGAACTGGCACTAGGTCAAAATGTTTAAGATTAAATTGACACAATTAAAAAGTTTATGACTAAATTGACACCAATCCAACAGATTTAGGACTTTTACGACACATTTGCTTTCTGATATCAGAGCGATGTGCATACGTGGGTACAATGAATAAATTTAAAATTGAGATTAATTAGGTATTTTGACTTAATATTAGTAGATTATTAAGTAATAAAGATTAAACTCAAAGACAGCTAGCGATTCTCTTGTTTAAAGCCCAATTATTTTTCGAGAAAAAAATGGAAATGGACAAAAAAAAAAAAGAAGGAAAAAGAGGACCGAATGGAAAAGGTTGGTTGGAAGTGGAAGTACAAGACGACGCCTTTTTCTTCACTCGCTTTCCCCCACAGCGTGTCGGTCTGCTGCAAGTTGCAACCCATCCCAAATCTCTCTCGCTCTCTCTCTCGCGACCTTCGGAGCCAGGGCCAGCACCGACCGCCGTCGCCGCCGCGCCGCCTCCTCCAGCGACCCGCCGCCTCCGTCGATCGGCGGTCAAGGGCCGGCGGTAGCCAGAAACCGGGCCATTTTCGAGCTCTCCCTTTCTCTTAAGGATTCGTGTCGATGGCTGTAGGTACGGTCCTTCGCGACTTCCCCTTTTCGCTCTATTGCTTGATTTGAGGCTTGGAAGCTTATCTGGGGACAGAGGAAGCATTGTGTGGGCAACATATCCTACTGCAAATACATCACCGGGATTCGATCGATGCTTTCACTGTTCCTTTGTTCTGTTTGTCGTATTACTTGGTTCGAAGCTGTTTTGTTCGATTTCTAAGCTTTCTGCATGACATGGTGGGATGGCCTCGACTCTCGTGTTGGGAAATGTGGGGATCCGCCGGTTTGTTTAGTGGATTGCAGTGGGTTGTTTACAGGCTAGGGTTTGAGTGTGGGAACATGGGCTTCTGAAGTTCCAAGGGCGCCTGATGATTGTTGGTCTTGAGAGGGTTTTGGGAATATTTACTGTATCCATGGGTAATATGTGGCCTTGTCTTTCTGGAGTTCTCATGACTGGTGGAAATCCTGAATTGTCAGATGATTAGATGGACTTAATGGCTGTTATCTAGTAAATCATCACTTAAGGGGAAAATGTGTCGGTGCATTGTTATTATTATGTCGATGTCGTTGGCTAATGTTTGGTTATTGTTTAGTAATGATACTCTGAATAGATTTTGTTTCAAGCTAATATGGAGAATTTGGATGCGACAACTGAAGTCTATACTGGAGCTAGTCTCCAGTTCCCTAGTTTGAGCTAGAGTCTCGATAAAAAAGGATGGTGTTAGGAGTGTTGAGCTTGTATTTCAAGCATGAAATTGGGATTCTGACTTGGGTCAAAGGTGGTGATGTTGATGTAAATTGCCCTGCTAAATATTGTTTTTCAGGTAATGTGGATTGAAGTTTGTCTAGTAGATTTAAATATTGGTCACATTTGGCTATGAGCATCAGTCCCGTCTTTATATCACTTTTTAATCACCTATGCCTGGTGTCATTGGAAAAAAGTGGTGACCTAGTTGATTTTGAGTCTTGTTTATTCTGTCTATGGTTTGCATTTCATTATTGAAAGAATGGGGAGGTCATTCTAAGAAATCGAAACTATCCAAAGCTAATCCTGCCATTGTGTTTCAGTGGAATGTGTGTGAATCGTAGATAAGGATAGGTCTATGCTAGGAGTGGCAGTTCAATGATTATCTGAACTAAGTTTTTAACCCTGTAGATTGGCTGTTTTGTTCTATGAATGATAACTACAACTTTCTCGTGCATGGAGTTTGCTTTTGAAAGAAATAAATTTGTAGATAGCTATTTTTTGGGAGTCTCCTACTGATTGTTTGATTTATAATCATGTCTTGGTTCTTAGCAGGAGAAATGTGCAAAGACTACTTATCGTTCCGGATTTATTAGAATATCTTTATTTTGTTTCACTCTCATTGAGAGCCATGTGGGCATTTTTATGGGTGAGGAACTTGGTTGAATTTTATGTGTATAATATTTGTGGAAGTGAGTGCACTCAGTAGTGATGCTTAGATGATTGTTGATGCTAGTACTGACTTCGATATGATTTGTTGTGCGTATAAATGGATTAATTTGAATGATCGGTCATTGTTGTGCTTCACTTGAGAATAAGGATTTTGTTATATGCTTAAAAGAACCCAGTTTGTGCTTCTATGTGATTAGTGGACTTTCGAACTCCATGCCACTGGTAGTCCTCGTGATTATGTTATGGTGCTCTGTTGGTTCATGTGAAGCCAAAGTTTGATATTATAGGGATGTTATAGATACTGTCCATATGGCATATGGACATGGAAAGTGCACTAGTATGAATATGCGAAGCCTGAAATGTGGGCTGATAAGTGCCAAAAAGTGTCCTTGTACTTTTGTTAGCTGGCCCAGCAAATGATGATAAGATTATTCTCATTTAGTAGGGTAGGTGGAGCAAAAACAGCTTGAAGTCTCAAACAGAAATAGGAGGCTTCTTGAGAATAGTCATTTGTTTTTATGGTTCCTTACAGATATGTAGATGTCTACCGTAAGATATTGGTGCATCGAGGAAAGGAATTTTTCTTAAGTCTGGCTGGTAAAGTTGGCACAAATCGCATGTGAATACGATCTTATGACTATTGGAAGTCCCCATAACTAACTGGGTCAGTCTGGCGAACATGTGTAATGGTTGATGAATTTAGAAGTTTTATGCAATGAGAATGCTAATGAGCTTGATTGAACTAAATTGTTTTTAATTGTATGTCTTCTTGAATTAAATTATTTAGGAGAACTTGGGAGCATGTTTCTTCACACATTGGCTTTTGATAAACTACAACAACTATTGCTTTGCTCGTAGACTCTAGTTTTGTGTCATAAAGTATCCCGATGAGATTGATCAGTCTTGCCCGCTGGTTTAGGATAAATTCTAAGACTTCATGATTCTTACTTATTATAGATCAAGCATTTGGATAGTAGACAACTGAGAAGCGGCACACCTGTTTAATGCATTTTTTGGCGTACTTGGAGACGGTAGATTTACATTTTTCCATGCATGGTGGCCGAACGGATTTTATACTGATTTCTTTTTCATTGAAATTGGTAATTTCTATTGATTTTTTTTATGTTTGGGTTTGAAAATGTGGTAGTTGGATAGACATGGTTCAATGCTGGTTAGACATCATTGGACCTTGTCTTGGTTTGTAGTGTGTGCTAAAAGCAATCCTTAAATGTGAATTACGATTGGTCTACCCTTTTAATACAGGGGAATTTAAACTATATTTTGGGGTGCATTTGTTTCGTAGAAAATGAGGGATTTGAAAAATATTTTTTGAAAAATGATCGCTTGTAATGCTTACAAAAATGAATGAACGAAAAATATTTTCATTGTCCACGAAAATGTTTGGACATAAATTATTGTCGATAATGAATTTATATTATCATTGACTAATTAATTTAGACGATACAAACGATCATTTTTATAAAAATGTTTTCCAAATCATTCATTTTCCATGAAACAAACGCACCCTTTGGTTTCTCAATAAGCATTCTTTTATTGTATGTTTCCTTCTTTCCTGTGTTTGGTACATCGTATATATTTAAGATAGAATTGACTATTGTCTCCCTTTCTATTGTTTCAAAATTACACTTGCAGCTAAAGTTAAAACAACCCTCCACTCTCCTTTATCTAAGTTAGCATTCAATTCACACATATTTAATAGCTACCTATTACACAGCTATTCAATTTAATAATTACTCAATTCCTTTAAAAAAATCATTCCTTTCTCTTCATATGAATCTGCCGATGATCATTGCACACACGTAGCACATACCTTAATACTAGTAGACTTCTAACCAAAAGGAAGGGTAAAAAAACATATGCAGTCCATACTAAGTTTAAGATAATTAAAGTGAAGAGTTTGGTCCAGTTCATATTCAACATTTCAGGGCTGGACCCACATTTGCTGATGTGACAAACCAGTAATGAGTGACAATTTTAAAATAATAAAGGGAAAAAAAGGGCAGAACATGTCAGCCCTAGCTACAGCATCATCACACCTCCCTCTCAGGTTGGTTCATGCCAGTGAGTCAGATAGCATGTCGCTTGCCGTTGGAAGTTTTGTACTGTGAAACTCTATTGCTTCTGTGGTTATTTTTTTTTGTACAATTCTGTGTTTGCGTAGAGCATGCTGACTTATGAGACTAATTTGTGTGAATATTTGCAGTTCCAAGGAACTTTAGATTACTTGAAGAGCTCGAGAGGGGAGAAAAAGGAATTGGAGATGGAACAGTCAGTTATGGAATGGATGATGCTGATGATATATACATGCAGTCATGGACAGGCACTATCATCGGTCCTCCTAATGTAAGCTTGCTCTCTCTCTCTCTCTCTCTCTCTCATATGCATGCACACACAAATGCTCAAGCATGCACACGAACACCGAAAAGACAAAAATAAAAAGGAAAAACACCCTTGAGCAGGTGAACCACTAGCACATACCAGTATACCATCTCCGCTGCTCGTGGAGATTCTTAAACCACTCCGCTGGTATTGCGAGATTCACTTTTGGGTCAATTTTTTCTTTTCTAAATTAGTGGTTGACCACGGAATGGTGATTATTCTAGCCAGCAATTATTCCACAGATTAATTAGTAAGATAATGGATGCTGATATAGGAAGTTGAACAAGTTTGAATTTAAGTTGAAGTGAAATGAATTCATGTTTCTAGAATTTTTTATTGATTGAACTTGATTTTTTTTTAAAAATAAACTCAAATCATTCAGCTGTTGGCTAGCTGATCCATTGAGGTGAGAACTAGCATCAATTATACCTGCTTTATGTTGAGACAGGCAATGTATGTTGGAGTATATGCTATCCACTTTTATGCTCACACAGTACTTGTCTTCAAAAAGTAGTTAATTCCAAGCTCAGGTAATTTTGAGGGGGCTAATATCCAGTCAAAACAGGATGCTCAGACCTGTCTGCTACTGCCTATTAAATGCATTTGATGCTTTGACAAAAGTAAGGGACTCGATATTGATATTAGTGTTGCATAAATTTTGTTCATAACTGAATTGGCTCATATGTTTGACATCTGAACTTTAAGCAACTTTTTTTTTGTAATGAAAACTCTAAGCAACTTTACTTAACGAAGAAATGGCCTCTGTGATTTTGTAGAGCAAATTCCGACCTTGCATTTTTGTATTTGACTTATTAATTTTGGAAAACACTAGTGAAGTCTCTGAATGCCGAAATGCGATTCAACTTCCAAACATTATTGAGCACTCCTTTTCTTTCTGAGAAAAATTTAGTTTTGCTCACTGACATAGTCTGCCTGGCAGACTGTTCATGAAGGGCGTATTTATCAGCTAAAATTGTTTTGCAACAAGGAATACCCTGATAATCCACCTGCTGTGAGGTTCCAGACTCGGATAAACATGACTTGCGTCAATCAGGAAACAGGCGTGGTACGTGAGTAACTTTGATTCAATTCTTCACATAAGGACTTCATTGTTTTGGACTCATTGCTGGCTATATTCCAGGTTGAACCTAGTCTTATGCCAATGCTTGGAAATTGGAAAAGGGAATATACTATGGAAGACATATTGTTGCAATTGAAGAAGGAAATGTTGTCTCCACAGAACCGCAAGCTAGCACAACCTCCTGAAGGTGAGAATTATTGACTGGCTGGTTTCTTGTTTCTTCTTTCGACTCCCAGTGTTTGTTATTTGGGTTAGTACCATGAAAAACCCCAAACTGATACACCTGTGACAAATTTAACCAAAACTAATTTTTTTACCATCAAAAACCCCAAACTGGTACACATGTGAAAGATTTACCTTAAACTAATTTTTTGACTACCAAAAACCCCAAACCAATACATTTGTGACAAATTTACCCTCCGTCAAATTGGATTAATATCACAAAAAACCACAAAATGGTACACTTATGACAAACGGAGGGTAAACCCCAAACTGGTACACTCGTCAACTGTCACGTGTCATTCAATTCAGAAATTTGACTGTAAAATTTAACGGAAACTATCAAAGGATAAAATTATCGCTGGTGTACCAATTTGGGGTTTTTCATTATCAAAAAATTAGTTTTGGGTAAATTTGTCACAAGTTTACCAGTTTGGGGTTTTTCATGATATTAACCTTTGTTATTTTAATGAACATTAGTAAACCACTTTCTTTTTGGAGGACACATACTTAGATGACACAAGATTTGAATTTTCAAGTTGGAATGGTTTGGAGAAAACTGAAAGAGAACCAAACGAACTCTCGTCATCGGCAGTTAAAGTCTCTGAATTGGTTTTGGGATTATAGTTTCTAAGCTCTTAGCATGTGCTCTGAAATTGCAGGCATTTTCCCCTTATAATGATCTTGATAACTTTTGTTCATGCCTATGATATGCCTTTTACAATTGACCCGTTCAAAATGGTTTTACATGCCTTTGTAGTTGGAGAAAATAGCAGGTTGCTCGTAATACATGTCCGCCTATTTTTTTTGAAATCCTTGTCCATGTTATTTTTTTTTAACAAAATTATGTTTATGGTGCGATTTCAGGAAATGAAGAGGCGAGGATGGATCAAAAGGGGCTTGTTGTGAGGTGCTGTGTCATGTGAGGGAAGTTCACGTGGTTATGTATATAAGCACATATATAGTGCCTGCGGTAACGTTGTTCGCAAATATTTATGTCAGAGGATTGTTGTAACTGAGAAATGTCTGATTAAAACGAGATCAATCATCCCTCTCATGTTTCACATTGTTTCACTTGTGTCTACTAGTAGCTGAATAAGTTTGAATATAAGTTCCCCGTGTCTAGGTAAAGTTTTGCACTCCTTGCATATTGTATTTTGATACCGTATTTTGTGCTATCGTTGCATATCAAAATGCTTCAGCCTTCCCGCATCTTTGAAAGTCCATATGCAGAAATGGCACGGACAGTTTCTGGGTTGAATTTCATTGCAGACCCTTCAGTTACATGAAATTTTTTGCTACAAATCGTAGGTTTCTGGTGTCCTGACCAGTTGGCAAGCCTAAGCAAGTTATGAAACACACCATGAGGATTTATCCAAGAGCTTGGTGAATGAATACATCCGACGTGGTTTATCAAGCGCAGCTTACGTGATTCTCCTTGGTTGAGGTTGAGTTTACATATGAAAATCGAGGGAAGTTAGATTGCAATAAGAAAAAAATAGAAGAAAAATGGAGACCGTACTAGAAAGACCGGTTTTAAGTGAGATACAGAATCAATCATACGTTAAGGAGCTCTTATTCTTCCAAATAATTTCCCGTTGGGAAAGGATTCTTGATGTTGTCGGAAATAGACTAGGAAAGACCGGCCGCTCCGCAATCTGCCCCCTGTGCCGAGTCAATCTGAACCCGAGAACCTTTATGAATTCCTGTGACCTCCCTCTATCCCGGCGGTCTCTGGCAGGACTACTCTTTGACATCTTATTCTTGAGTCACGACATTGTCACTTCACTTTCCCATATCGCTCTCAGTTCACGTCATACACTACAAGACCAAAGGCTCGAGCCATTTCGTGTGATTAATTGTAGCATGAACGATGCGAGAAAGTATGATCCACGCAGTGCACATAAAAAACTTGTACTAACACTGACGTGGCTGCCTGCCTGCCGTCCGGCCAACGCTGACGTGATAATTTTAAAATATTTTTTCGAATTTTTTAATTTTTTTTTCCGAATTTTTAATTTTTTTTCTTTTTTTTCTTGTTTTTTTGCCCTTCTTCCCTCTGGCCCATAGGTGCAGGCCAACGAGATCGACCTCGCCAGCCTCTAGCAAAGCTCGCCCTTGTCGGCCATTGGCGAGGGCAAGCCTCGCCCACCGATGCCAGGCCGGTCTCGCCCAGCCAAGGCGAGGCTGATCTCGCCGTCGCCAGGCGAGGTGAAATCCAGCGACGGCGAGGTCGGCCTTACCATGGTTGGGTAAGGCTCGACCTTGCCGGATTTGGGCAAGGTCGCCTCGCCCAGCGATGGCGAGGATGGCCTCATCTTGGCTAGGTGAGGTGACCTCGCCGTCATTGGGTTTCACCTCGCCCAGATTTGGCGGGGTCGAGCCTCGCTTAGTCATGGCGAGGTTGACCTGGCAACGGCGGGCGAGGCTTGCCCTCGCCAGTGGCCGGCGGGGGCGAGCTTCGCCAGAGGCCGCCAAGGTCGACCTCGCCAGCCCGCGCCTCTAGCCGGTCCCTAGTCGCAGGACAGGCCAAAGGGAAGAAGGGCAAAAAATATATATATTAAAAAATTCGAAAAAAATATTTAAAAATTGCTACGTCAACGTTGGCTGGACGGCCAGCGATCACGTCAGCGCCGGCCGGCTAAAATTGGCCGAATTGACTCAATTAGCAAGAAGTGAAAATGTTTACGACTGAATTGACAAACTTAAAAGGTTTAGGACTGAATTGGTAAAAGTGCAATAGGTTTAGGAATTTTTGGACAATTTTCCCGGTTAGTTTACCTACTTTACAAATCAGTCCTAGAATACTATTGACACCAAAAGATGTCCAAGGCCTCAATCGATGACTCGGTTGGCAGAGACCGGGTAAGAAGCGACAGAGGCAAGAATTTGCTAAGTGTTGAGAGCTTTTAATCGGCAAATTTTGTTGGTCGACAAGAAAATAAGTTTTAGCTGACGGAGGATATGAGTGGAAATAACCAAGTCTTGAAGCAAAATGTTGGTGAATGAAGATCGTTTTAATTGACAAGGGGGCCACGATTGATGGGATCATCGACGGAGTGGAAATGAAATAACTATCTGCGTAGTGGAGCTCACGATTTTAGATACAACCGTCAGAGAGGCACATATAGCATCCAACGCAATTATGTAATAGTGGAGCCAAAGATGATGGGAGCAACTGATAATGGTAACCGCGAAGAAGTGGAGAAGATATAACCGTTTGTAGATATGAATTCTTGAATTGTAGGAACCCCATAGAATGTATCTAATTTTCTTTGTAACCGTCGTTAACTATCGACAGTAGATATAAATACTTGAATTGTACTTTGTGCAAAGGACTGCCAATCAATCGAAGAACACCAGCTGTTTACTTCTTATCTTCCAATTTATCTTTACGTTATGGTTGACAATAATTGTTCTCAATCTCGATACCTTTAAATTTCTCATTGTGTATATTTCATGTCCAAGAATCAACGAAAGACCTCTTCACACCCTTTGTTGATTTACTCACGGATTCATATTTCAAAAAGTACTTCATTGATACTCTTTGGATACCTAGCATTGTTATGTTGCAGTCAGACAAAAGAATCATGCTCGATACCTAATAAAATTCGATCAATTTTATAAATCGTTTGTCAGTGTATTTAGCCTTATTCCTCCTCGAACGCTGAAGAAATAGGACAGAGCAGTTCCTTCTGGCAGATCGGCTCCAATATTGCGTTCTAGGTACTGGTAGAGCCTTCACTTCATCCATGGTTGACCTTAGCTTCGCTATAGCGGACCGACCAAACCCTCCCGTTATCTCACTCCTCGCTCACCATCAATCCCATGCACCCACATCATCATCTTCCTCACTCCCTCACGTAAGCCGCAAAATTCACTCTCTCACATCATGATCATATCAGCAGCATCGGTTATATACTTCAACAAGCTCCGCTTCACCAAGCCACTTCCATGAATTCTTGATCCCGGTCATGTCTCCCACCATATCGACTCTTTCTTCCACCCCTTTCTCCATGCTCTCGCTCCTCCTCCTCCTCCTCCTCCTCCCCTTCTCGCTCCTTGTTTCCCCGTCGACTTCGTCCTCCGACTCGTTCATCTTCGTCGGCTGCTCTCAGTACAAGTACTCCCCCGGTTCACCCTACGAGACCGGCGTCGACTCCGTCCTCACCTCCCTTGTCAGCTCCTCCGCCTCCTCCTCCTACAACAATTTCACCATCCCGGGCCCCACCCCCTCCGACACCGCCTATGGCCTCTACCAGTGCCACGGGGACCTCGCCGTGGCCGACTGCTCCACCTGCGTGTCCCATGCGGTAAGCCAACTTGGGACCATCTGTGCCGGCTCCTCCGGCGGCACACTCCAGCTCGAGGGCTGCCTCGTGCGGTACGACAACACGACGTTCCTCGGCATGCAGGACAAGACCGTGCTGCTCAGGCGATGCGGGCCTCTGATTGGGGGTGCTAATTCTGATGGGCTAACACGGCGTGACGCCGTGCTCGGGTACATAGGAGCTGGGGACGGGACCTACAAGCCGTACAGGACCGGTGCCTCGGGGAGTGTCCAGGCGGTGGCACAGTGTGTGCAGGACCTGAGCGCCGGCGATTGCCAAGACTGCCTGGCGGAGGCGATTGGACTTCTGAAGAGTGACTGCGGGGCGGCGAAGTGGGGCAACATGTACTTGGCCAAGTGCTACGTGCAGTATTCGGACGGCGATCACACCAGCGTCGGACACGGTAAGGGGCCTTGCGGCCGTTTATGGTGGTTCACTTACGGTGCATCGCTTCTTAGTTGGGTGTGTTTGTTTCCATTTGTTTCAATCCGTTCAAAACTTTGATTGCTACTCCCTCGTGTGAAGTGCCAAATGACTGTGTGGTGAATTTTGAGTATGCTTATGAATTGAAGAGAGTGGGGCAGATCTAGGGAAAGTTATGATTTACTGCGTGGAGATTGTTTGGCTACGAAATTGAGTTGTTTAAGTTATAAAAATACCAGTTACTTAATTTTGATGCTTGAATAGAAATTTATTTGCAAGAACAAGAATGATATGATAATGTGTGGACACTATTTGTTGCCAGGTAGATTCTTATTCTCGATACGGTTAAGTTTTTTTGCTTGCTTTATAATGGCATTGGATGCCCGAATAGGAGTTGCTATATTCTTTGATTTGCCCTTCTTATATATATCTATATATATTTAGAGTTTTTCTCGAATAGTAGTTTTGAGTTAGACAAAGTATTAAAGCATGGGACTAAATCAAAGAAGAACGAAATTCCTTCTAAAGTCCTCAAGAGATCACATCACATCGTTAAAGCGATATTCTTTCGGAAGTTCTTTCTCGATCGGTACACTCTCGAAGTGCACTCCCTCCCTCGTTCTTGCCCCTTGCCGTCAATCGTTATTCAGTGATGGTCAAGGTGCCTACAGTTTCCAAGAGATTTCTAGAGAAGTCCTCGTTCACTTCTTGTTCAAGGATATTACAAAGGTGCAGAAGAGGACGTCACGAATTTCTTTTGGAATTTGAAAATGAATGACTTGATGGTATTAAGGAAATGACGGTCTTTCTAATTTATAGAAAACATGTTTCTAGAGAGATTTTGGAGACAGTTAGATCACAAATAAATACACAGCCCGGTTTGACAAGGGCATTAAATGATCACCGAGGCTAGAGGAACCTGATAAGATGAGAATTTTAGCGGACTTCTAGGATTAAAAGGGTAGGAACAAATCTAACTACACACCAAACATGGTGAGAATGTTTTCGAGTTATATATGTAAAAATGGAAATAATTCACAAGAAACATCTTTTAGTGCAATGGCAAGTTCAGTGTTGGAACTCCTATGTTAGACGCGCTCAGGTGAGAGCACTACAAGGTTGGATGACCTCTTAGGAATATATCTATACATACATAAAATACAAAACCGTGAAATTGTTGAGGTTGTCCCGCATCGGTTATGAAAGAGGCCGGTGGTCAGTTTATAAGTGTGAGGAAAAACCTCACCCTTTGAGCTAGCTTTTGGGCCAAGACCACCAAACAGAAACTAGATATAAGACAGGTCAAAACGGGTAAATATCGAATGAATAAAACTTGATATATCATATTAAGGGGAAAAGGGGAGCATTATTAGGGCAGTGTGTATACATAGATATGAAGAGTTGCGATTGAGGAATGATCCCTCGAGGGAACAAAACTGCTAAGGAACTCATCTAGCATAAGCAGTAAGTTGGTTTAAACTCCTCTCGTCACAAACGAGTTTTAAGGTTGTTTGGTGCATGTTCACCCTTCAATCGATTATGGGCCCTCTGGAAATGTAGGTTATTAAGAGATGAGGAGGAATCCAATGCCACTAATTAAGTAATGATTGCAGTATGCTCCACTCCCGGGAATATAATTAACAAGTCAGATAGAGCTCTAGCAAAGCTACCGTGAAGGCGGAAACGGTGCATGATCGAATCTAATCATCACCTCCATTATATAACACTAAAAACCTAAAGAAAAGGACTGTCACTAAGTTAAAGGAGGATGCAATTGCAATACATAGTATTCTTTCTACCCATTGGATGCAGCACAAGTTTACTTACGATTGTTGTAGATGCGTCGTGTTGAAGTTGGATTGCATTGTGCTGTAGCATGCGAGTTCAGGCGGCACATTTCAAAGCGGTAGCGTCCTAAAGTCAGATCGAAATATAATCATGAAACCGCATGATTTATAAAGCACTTCTTTTTTCTATAATCGTGTGATAAGTGCGAAAAAGATGGATCGAAATTAGTGAACTTGAGAATGTATCGAGATCGACTGTGTCATTGGAAACAGGTACATCCGATGAAGAGGTTACGAAGACTGTGGTCATCTTGATCGGTGTCGTTGCTGGGGTTGCGGTCGTGATCATCTTCCTCTCTTTGATGGCAACAATGTGCGAAAGAGCAAGAGGTGAAGACTCTTTCCTTTCCTTCTTTCTCTTCTTCACCTAGCCAGGACTGTATAATTCATTGAATTTTCCTATTCACTATGTTCCTTTTTAATATTGCAGGCGGCAAATAGAGGCCACAAATTTGTGGATGTGATATAATCAGCTGGCTGATTTGCCACTTTCGGTTCCTTTGTCTAGTCGTTCGAATTGTTACTCTCACTTTTGTTTCATGCTTTAGACCTTTTCAGTTGCCCTCTCTCTCTCTCTCTGTGAGATTATATAGATCAAGTCCATATGAACCGTCGATTATGTGGGCCTTTCAATGTGTTCACATAAAATTGATGGTTCAAATAACAGTGATCCATGTGATAGGTCACGAATTGTACAGATATTCACCTAGAAACGAGTCAAAGGAAAGATTGCTGCTTTGTATGTAAGTTGTGTACATATAGATGGTCAAAAGACTCGAAAGTTAATGTCATGATAAAATGGAGGGCTATTTCTTGATTCATGTGTCGTTGGTTTGCTGCTTTTCAGAAAGCACCAGTCATGTCTCCACTTTATTTTGAGGTAGCCGAAAAGTCCACTGGGATTCACAGGCACATCTTTGAGTCTCGTCTCAATTCCAAGTGAATTTCATTGTTTGCACTTGCACGAATTCAAATTCAGAAGAGGTTATGTCCCCGAGAACTACATTCCATTTGAATTCATGATGTATGCAACTTGGGCAAAAGCTCATATGGACTAATAACAGGGTGGGAGTAATAAAAAAAAAGGATGTAGATTGATATCTCTCTACGTCGCCACGACCCTCCTTTTTTTTTTTCCACGAATATGTACAACGATGTGAAGGTTGTGGATGCTCAAGTGTGTTTTGACATCCGAAATTACATTCGTATGCAGTTGAGAATTCTTTTTGAGGTATTAAAAAATGGTGATCAATGAGTTCGTTTCGACGAACGGGACTTTTACATTATTTACATATATATACGATTTTAAGGGCTTGCTTGTTTATGCTTTTACATTGAACTTGATGGACTTTAGAGGTATATTTAACTATGATTGTGCTTGCAATTCGCTATATTATATCTTCGAAATTCGATTTGAGTTAAGAAAGCCCAGATCAACCCGTTTGATAACAACAATAGGTGCTGAAAATTAATTTAGTCAACACTTAAATACAATAAGCACGATAACCATAAACTAGTTTTGACTTAAAAATCAGTTAAGTCAAAAAAAAATCACTCAATTAGCGAACAGGCTAGCTAGGTCCATTCTTCAATCCAGTTATCAGCATCTTCGGCCACATAAAGTAATAATACAACAAGATGTTGTCATCATCTTTGGTTTATCTTGTTCCCACTTTTTAGGTGGGTCATTTCCTATACTTTTTATCATCATTGCGCTAGAATCGAATCTGTATATTCCATTCCGTGGCAGAAAATTAGCGATTCGAAGAATTGCGTGTCAGCATTATCGTGCACAAGATGTTCATCGGATTAGGAGGGATTAGTGACATGATCCCTGCCCGAACTCTCTCGACGAAAGTCTCTTTGATCTCCTTCTGCCGGGTGTTCTGCTATATCATGACGTGTGGATGGATGAACTTGATACTTTTATTCAATGGTTTAATCATTTCAACGCTTTACACCTAGAGATTGACTTAAACCAGCAAATTCTTGGTGCTTATCCTTAAAAGCTAATTCGATGGGGACACATATGAGGTTACGCTAAACGGAGACTTATCTTAAGGGTGTCGATATTGCATTGTGTTACTGTTGGTTAGATCTGGTATCATTCGATTGTAAGATGTGTCTATTTTGTCAGGAGATGAGATCCATGAAGATGGGGTGAGTTTTGTCTATTTGAACACCTAATGAGATGCTGATCCCATTGCTAAGTAATCAAGGCTGAGCACAACATTCTATTTGCATCTAGAATTTCTCCTAAACATAATTGATTATGCATCTCAGATACTGACAATGTTTTCACTCTTAAGATGCTATGCAACCTTGGCACATGATCTTATGACCAAAAAAAAAAAAAAACCATGGTTGATCTGTCATGGATCTAATGCGGAGAGATCTAAAGGTCCGGATGTCCCTGAGGATCGGATTCGATAAAGGATTTTTCCTTTGATGGATTGGCCTCACCCCTCTTTTCAGGAAATTTCATATATTAGAGGCATCAAATCCTAACGAAACACGCCTATGGATCGAGCTCTACAAAACGAGTTGGGTCTGTGATTACTTAAGTTACTTATCCCGTGTTTACTTCAGTTAACTCAAGTCCAATTATATGACAATTTTGCAGGAACCCTTTCACGAATTTTACCAATTCCGTCTAAATTATTATTCGATTGGCGTTCGGATCTGAGAGCGCATCAAAGAAATCAAACTTATGTGATCATCGGACGGGCTTTGGGGCGGGACGGGCGCAAAGGCTGGGGCCTAAATCTCCGCCAAAAAGCCCGGTTTCTTACACACACGCAAACCTTCGTGTTGGGCCGGGTCGGGCCTCCGCCACCACCTTGCCCTTGCCCAAGCCCACCCGAGATGCCATCGGGCCCTCGCGGCCCGGTCCTCCCTTTTGGGCTTAAACTAGGACGGCCCATGAACAGTTAAGCCCAGAAGAGGGCGAAGACCGGCCCAATGGGCCTACCCTCCACGTGTCGCTGCAAGCGAGCCCCGCCTGTAACAGAACCAAAAAAAAGGGAACTCCTTCGTCCCGAAGAAAAGCACCTCCGTAACAGATCACACGCTGCAAGACCGAGAACCCCAGTCAAGCCAAACAAAAAGAAAAGAAAAGCTCGAAGCTCTCCACCCCACCGCCGAAGCTCTCAGATCTCTCGAAGCTTCTCCTCCTCCTCCTCCTCCGACTCCGATGGCTCTCGAGTGGGTGGTCCTGGGCTACGCCGCCGGCGCGGAGGCGATCATGGTGCTCCTCCTGACCATCCCGGGCCTCGACGGCCTCCGGAGGGGCCTCGTCGCCGTCACCCGCAACCTCCTGAAGCCCTTCCTCTCCGTCGTCCCCTTCTGCCTCTTCCTCCTCATGGACATCTACTGGAAGTACGAGACCCGCCCCGGGTGCGAGGCCGACGCCTCCTGCACCCCGTCCGAGCACCTCCGCCACCAGAAGTCCGTCATGAAGAGCCAGCGCAACGCCCTCCTCATCGCCGCCGCCCTCGTCTTCTACTGGCTCCTCTACTCCGTCACCCACCTCGTCGTCCGGATCGAGCAGCTCAACCAGCGGGTCGACCGCCTCAAGGCTCGCGATTGATTCCGGTACTCGCCTCTCCAGATGATTTGAGACTTTTTCCCCGTAACATCGTGTTCCTAGTTTTGGTCCCCCCCACCCCCTTCCCCCCCTTCTTTTCCCCATTTTGCTGTCTGAATACGCTCGGTGATGTTCAAATATTCTCTGGAAAGATCTCTCGATATGGAATCCGAATATAATGCCTGTTTGAGTTGTATCCGTGTGGAGATCTTGTAGAATTGTGGCTAGCTTTCGGTTCGTTGTGTTGGTTATTGTGGGATTTGATGACGAAGGTGGAGGTAACCTGAGGCTTGGATTAAGTAACATTGTCGATTAGTTTCGGGCGAGGGGGCTGCATTGACTTGCAGATTCATCATGTGAGTTTCTAGGTGGTTTGATTGAAGTGTCATTGATGGCTAGGGTTTATAGGATCCAGTTTGAGAGGATTTTGCAGCTGTAGCTCGCGCGATCGATTTGTATTGCGCTAAACATTCTTTTGCTTCTCTTTTGGTGAGCAATTAGCTGCTTGCACAGCACAGCGTCCGTGAATGGAATTTCCCTGTGCTACCTGATTGCTTCTGAGTATCCCAGCCTTAGTTTGCTTAGAGGGGATGAAATGCGGATAGTCGTGGAATGGGACGATGTGTAGTGACCTTTTGTATGGAAAGATTTGCCCGATAGGTTTTAGGGTCATCGTAGAAATATTTATGGGACTAGAGTACGAGCTAAAGGAAGTACTTGTGGATTTAGCTACTGCTGCTCGCTATAGTCGTGGCCTATTGGCCCTCCGACAATTTAAAGGAAAAGCCTCCCCTTTTGATCATCAAAACATGAATTACTTTTCCACATTTGTCTGGCTCTGCTATGACCTGTGGATTGTGATTCATCTTTTATGCACCAGAAAACGTGATTACACTGATTTAGTCATTTGATGATTAATTCAGTAGGAATATGGATTTTTGCCAGTCTCAGTTTGGTTCATGTAAGATCAGAAACATGCTTGGAGCTTTGCCGATTCTCATCAAGACAAAGAATAACATGGTAAAGTGACATTTTAATTGGACATCCTCATTTTGGCAATTTGAACTTGAAGTCAATGCAAGACTGATCATTGAAAAAGAATAAGACTTAAGGCCTTAGTGGGGTCGGCACTAAGGACTGGAGCAGTTAAGTTTGTGTGAAGTGTTGGTCACCAGAATGTTTTCTCATATTGAGGGAGAGGTCAATGACGGACTGAATTTGTTTATTAGATCAACAGCTGCAAACCGATTGCTTCTTCTAGGTCAGATAAGCTGCATTGAAATTAAGAGGTCTTGCTACCCTCACCGGCCTGCGACTTGAATATTCTGAATTGACCAGAACCTGGTATGCTAATCGAGGTGGATATAAGTAATGTACAACAATGGTTAAGAGACTATTTTCGGTTGTAGGATGATGATTCTCCTTAGTTCACCAAGATACTTTTCTGAGCACCTGTGGGAGAGCATGGAGATTTAGCTTCTTGGGTTGTTAATGTCACTGTTGGAAGGAGACTTTCCAATAGCGGTTTGAATGATCCGGTATTTACACCAGCAAGAAAAATCTTATCCTGGTATATTTGTGCATGCCTGAGGTATTCTGTTCTTTCAGACTAGTTGTTTCTTCGAGAACCAAACCAGCATGAGAGATGTATCTTTAAGAATACGTATTCTTCCCTGAACAAATGGATCTGCAAAACGCGACCTCCCTTTGTCGAGGGTTGTGTCATCTGGATACTCGGAGCAATGTTTTCTCTGAACTCCATAGATCTCGTTTGTGCACGCTGTAATTCGATTTTATTTATTGTGGAAGTATGAGAATATATTGGCATATGTACTCCGGAGTCGTTCCACGTCTATACGGCTCTAGTCTCGGTCTGAGATACCCGAGAACATCCTATGTGACGGATGCTCTGTATTTACTTTTATCAACAATTTTTTTTGCCAAGGACATGTACGAAGATGATTCTCTTAGAGAGACTCTTTTGAGTGTCTTGATATTGCTTTAGGGGATCTTACATCCGATTCGTGTCAATTTGGCTTGCGTATTTTCAATGTTAGTATTATTATGTTCTTCCTGCGGGGAAGGAAAGCTACTGTAATATGTGCACAGCGATCCGGTTTTGTGCCTTGTATGTCTCCTTCGGCTACTGTATTCACTCTTCAACTTGTTTTCCCAGAGATTCAGTAGTTCTTGCGAATTGATAGGGACCTTAAAGGAACCACGTGCTCAGAGAGCATCACACTTCCTAGTCTTATACCATCTACCTGGGTCCAGCTGTTCTAATTTGCAATTGCAATAAAGATCATCCCAGTGGCCAATAACTACAAGCTGCTAATAACCGCAAACGCTAGCAGTCAGTTATAGGTAGGGAAAAGGACTCGTCGGCAAAGTTATAACTCGACATTGTTTGACCGCTCAAGAAAAAAAGAGATGCTCATCTGAATTTCCGAAAGTTCTACTATATTCTCTCAAACATACTTCTAAACCTCTCTCCTCTAGGCCCAGGGATGTTTGAAAGATAGAGTTACGATTTTGAATCGTCAAGATGTGCACGTTCAGCGAGTATGCCAACTCCTTCACTTGCCATTTCAAGTGAGTTTTTCTGAGGCCAATGAGCCTTAAGATAGAGATAGAAGAAAGGCCTGCGCGTTGGGAAACATACCTACCTCTAATCTCCATCTTCTCCTCTTAATCACCTCATGATGTCATCCTAAATCAGATTTATAAGTGGCACGCAAATAAGCGGAGTTAAAACTACCGAAAAAAGCTAACCTAGAGTTGACCGGCACATAATCCAACCGGTCCGGTCCAATTTTCAAAACACTAGTGACACTGTCATTCTTATTGGATGAACCATATAATGTCCTTCGGACTATGCATGGCTTCATCTTCAGTAGTAAGGGTACATATTCTGCGTACAAAGTTGCTCTGCTTAAATTCGACTGTCGAAGAAAAATTTGGCACGTCCCAACTATCATCTATAATATAAATCCTAAACGCAAATTCTGAATGGAAGGCCTCAACCATAATTGGGAGATCGTAGTTACGACTTTTTGTGGGCACGGCACGTTTTTTGATGTATTAACATGCTACCTTTCAAGTAAGCAGCCAATTAAACAGGGAAACATCCAAAACACACGCATACAGAGAGAACAAAGGAGACAACCTCCGAACTCTACTTTAAGACTTAATCTACTAACCAAGATCTAATCTAATGGCTAACATTAGTAGGCTAGTAGGAAAGCAAGCCTCAGCTACATGTAAGTTATTTGGCCAAAAAATAGGTCAGATTAAAGACCCCAACGTTCACCCATCCGTATATCACAAGATTGGGTATCTACAGATTTACAGAAGAGATTGCCTGAGAGTATACAGCGAACAAAGTTTGTGGGCTATTTATGACGCTGAGGTTGGCACCAAGTAGACTTGTATATCTTCACGCTTGAAAGGCAGCGACTGGTTTGCTTTCAAATGCAAGCATGATTCAGAGGGGAAAACAGCCAAAATGAGGATCCCCTGGTAATTTTATCGAGCAAACATATGACGGTCCAGGTGTCGACCATAGATGCTTTCATTGGCCTGGATTTTGTGCAATCTTCGGGTGGGTGGCGGCATAGATGGAAGTGTTTACATCAGGTTTCAAGTGAGAAAAAAGGTGCTGCACATCTGGTGTAAGTCTCTCGGATGCTCTACCAAGGATGGTAAGTACCTCAGGTCTGGGCTTGCTGTTTGCCTGCACAGGTCCTCCCTGACCTTCATAATGGACGACATGATGGCTGGTAGAACAATTAAGAGAACATCGATTAGGTAACAGGTGCAACTCTAATTTCAGAGTACATTTAATTAGAGAAGATCAGATACTACTGCTTGCAATTTTGGTTAAAAGAGAAGTAAAAAATTTGTAATAGATAAGATTTTGAACCAAAGTTCGGGCTAAAATCATTAGTCTTCATATATACAAAATTGACAATGATACATCAACAGAGATCTTTTGGAGAACACTTTAGAGTAATGGAACTGAAGTACTTCTCCGAAACCTCGTGCACCAAAAACATCTGCAATATGTTCTGCTCGAATAACTATACAAAAGGAAAAACCACTTACAGGAAATCAATGAGATCCCTTATTTCTGATGCTTCAACGGGGTTTGAGGGTTGTGAGTTCTTCCCAAAGACATCCAACAATGTGCTCAACAACAATGAAAGCGTCTGGAAGTGATAAGAATAAGAAACAACTTAGTTTGATAAGTTGGTGCAAAATACCACACAACATAACAAGCTTATGACGCGCAGAAACAGTTGACAATCACAGATAGTAGATTGACGGAGAATCATGAAAACCTGACCATCTGAACACAGCATAAATCTCTACAATTTTGTACCCAGTAATTTAGTGGAAACATCAAAGTTCTGCTGTTCATGTTCTCTCTTTTAGTGAAAAATCAAATGACTTCAAGAGAGTCATACATTAACCAATAACACCTAACAAGTACATAGCTTTACATTCGCTATTGCTGAAACACCATCTGCATCAAGTATTGTCGACTGAATGATGAGTTTTAAACAAAGACTGATTACACTTGCTTGAAAAATGCAGCATCCTGCTATAAGACTTCGGAAAAATTTCAGGACATTATATAACTTGTGTGTTCTTCGAAAAGAACTCGCTAGGGTTTGAAAAGGAGGAGGAGGATCAGTATGTATAAAATATAAAAGTACGAGTATGAACTTAAAGAAGAATATTCCAGTTGTCAAGCATGTTGCTGAAAAAGTATCCTTTGAAGCTCAGGGTACAGAGCATGATAAAGAAGATGGGAAGACAACTTCAAGGAACAAAAACAATAAGTCAACTTATCCCATTGTCTTGCAATTCAAACCAATTATGGGAATCATGACATTTGTGTCGTCAGAAAATGCTTCTTTTCACCTTAACATATTTTGATATGACCAGACTGGTATTGCTTTACAACAGACAAGTAAAAAACAAAAATATAAATGATGACGTTGACAGCTGAAATGAAGAAATGAATTAATAGAAGAAAGAAATCAACGCGGGATTTTTTTAAAAGCTCCAATCTTAATGAATCTCATCAAATTCTTTGTAAAAGGCATTCTATCTACTATAAGACCGCGTGATTGACGGTAGTGCTTTGTCACTCCACCCTCTCAACTTTATATACGCGGCAAAAGGGAAGGATAGATTTTGTATTATGTTTCCTGTCTAACCACTCAAACTTTACTTCATTTTCCTTCAAAACTTTCAAACTTTGAGAAGAAAAAGTTCGAAGATCCACGAAGTT